GAAATTTATACTATTCAAGGGAAATAATATCATTACAACTAATGCATATTGTGCATTTAAATAAATATATGCCTTAGTTAGTAAAAAGACTCTGCCGCTGCTTAATATGTGTATGTCTTTGATTGGATCCTCCTAATGTAACCTAATGTATGTCTCAGTTGGTTTCTAAAACGGGCATGGCTGGTACGACCAACATCTTATGGTCACCGGAACGGGCCTTGGAGGTACGCATCGTGCGGACTAAAGAAGACTGAGCAAATAATCGGAAGGATGTTTAGTTTAAAAAAAAAAAAAAAAAAAAAAAAAACCCATTACTGCACATTCAGATTATTTATATATAATGACATGCCTCTTCCTTGTTAGGAGCTTTAATTATAGATTTGATCTTCAATCCATCCATGTCTTCGTGATCTCCCGCATAGTGGCCCAACTGAGAACGTTTGCCGCTAAGAGCCCTCTCTAAATTGACGCCGAATTCTACCACCGTTTTTTCATTACAGCACTTCGCCTGTATTCAACTACCCTTACGATCGTAATAATGGGTGACAACAGTTCAGTGGATGTCCTTGGACGTAGGTTCTTGATTCCTTTTTAAAATTAATTTCCCTTTGATGCTGCGAGCAACAGTCTTTAGGAAGACAGCATATCGCCAAGTAGAAAAAAAAAGAAAAAAAAAACGAGAAATAGAAGCGCATAAAAGTAATCACAGGAAAAGGCTGATTAGGACAGTTATAACAACAGGCCAGACCAAATCCAACTGCATTATGAACATCAATAGTTATAGTAATATAAACCTCAAGTCTGAGCTTTTCATGGTATGTAAAATCCTTATATCTATTATTCTACTAGCTTAAAATAACTATATATTTTCTTTATACTCCAGAATAATTGTTTTTTATGTAGGATTCATGTATCATGAATACTATAAAGCTTGGAAATGAAGATGTAAAATTGAGGGAGAAATTTGGTGTATAGCATGTTTTGATACTTCCTTTCTATTCCGTTGTGTTTTACTGACCAGTGAGTCCGAAAGTAGTTCCTCCATTCGGCCCAGATGAAGATATTCTCGAAATAGAGCCTGTGCTTCCTGGTACCTACCAGTATGGAAATCAAGTCATTAGAATCGACAAATCTAATGCGAACTCAGTCGAAGAGTATATGAGACGCGACCTTGATGTTACTCAATTGAATAAAATCCACAAGCATCTTTGGTTAGCCGGGCTGCCACATGTTTCGCGAGCACTGCACAATCAGCTCAGGGTCGGACGACAAGTCAATATCACAGAGAGGGCGGATCTCCACCTTGTTTGGCGCGACAACATTCTGTACCTGAAACCACTGCCGGATTATTTGCTGAGTTATTCCACCTGGACAATATATTTTGTAAAGACCGCGTCCTTTTCGAGAATGCAAAAGGATTCCTCTATTCTTACACTTGGCTGATATGCAGCAAGAGTGACCTGCGGATTGGACATGAGCAAGGTTTGATATCGAATGACGTTGACTGGGCGAAATGAGCCTCGTTCTCTGCAGCCGTGGTTTCCAACATCAACCTGAAGGAGTTGATTGACATCAACCCAAGGTATATCTATGGTGAACTACGTCTCGCGCGGTTGAATACAATTTACAGATTCTGCACACACACGACTAGTTTCAAGACAA